AATAATAATAATAACATACAATCCTCATTTCCCGGTTAGTAATTTACCATACCCACCCCACCCCACCCCCCACTCCCCATATAGAAAACAATACGATATAGGGCTTATCTTATTTATAATATGGGCCACACACGTGTGTTTGAAACTAAATATAAGCATTTTCATCATGGTTTTATTTATTACAAACATATTCTTTTACCATTTATACACATTGACATTGAGCCCCTTCTTTAGGTTAAAATGATCTATCTTAAATTTGTCTTTCTTGTGTTTGGGACAATTATGTGTTTAAATGACTTAAAAGGATAAAACTAAAAAAGCCCTAAAAATGCGCTCCAAGCGCTTAAAATATTTATGTGCTATAATTCTAATTTCGTCAGAATTGATGAAAACTCCCTAAAATGTGCAATTTATAGAGGAAATTGGCCTACCGTAACAAAGAATTTGAGAATTTTAGGCACATTCAGAGGATGCATTTGTCAAGGGGTGGAGAAAAATTTTCCAAAGATGTATATTTCACCCTTGTCCCCCGGTGTTTTTAATTCTAATTTCGTTGGAATTGATCAAAACTCCATAAAATGTGCAATTTTTATAGGAAATTGGGCCATGTTAACAAGAAATGCGCGCGAAATTTGAGGTTTCTAGGCACTTTCAGGGATGAAAGGGCATTTATAAAGGGGTGGGGAAGATTTTTCAAAGATAGATATTTTCCCCTTGTCCCCCAGTGGTTACGCCATCGGGCAGCATAGATCAAAGGAGTTATGACAGTTTTTGAAGTGGAGAAGGGGTTGCAGGGTGTTGTGAGTCTGGTCATTATAATATCTTCCTTTTTATTCCTGTCTTAATTTTTCTCTTCTCTTTTTCTTCCTTTTCTTTTCCTCTTCTTTCTCTTTCCCTCCCCCTCCCCTCTTTCTTTTCTCTTATTACCCAGCCCGGTACGTCGGCTTGGTCAGCCCGGTAAAAACCGTCAGGGGAGGGGCAGTTTCCCCATCCCTTCTCCCCCACCCCGTGCCTGTTACGACACTGGCCAACACGCCAATATCCCCCCACCCCAATGCAAAATATTTTTCTACGCCACTGTGAAGAACAGTCGGATTAAATCCGAATCAAAAAGTGGCATGCAGTTCAACGCATAAACGGATCCGTCTGCAGATATTGGGATTTTTTCCAGTGGATATTTAGTTTATTTTGTCATTCTTGATCGGATTTTCTCTACTGTTCCGTTTAAACTTTATATTATCACTATTTTCATTTATGTGGCTGCTCGTTGTTTTTATGGGTTTATCCCATTTGCCATTAAATTTATATATATATATATA